CTAAGCACGTGCTTAGGACACCAGGCCCAGGGGGGGGGGGGAACCACAAAGTTGACAAACAAACAAACAAACAAAAAACAACGAGGATTTGTACAATATGTAGAAAGGAGGAGGGCAACAAGATTTGTCAGTGCTTAGGGCACCAGTGAGCCTTAATCCATCACTGGGGAAGAGTAAAGCGTGTGTGTGTGGTGCCATCAGTTTATCATCTTATCCTTTTTTCACTTTTAGACAGAAGCACTTGTTCTTTAGGCCTAGTGTACAATAACTGAGGTGGCCGCCTGCTTATACTGCAAGGCACGCCTGAATACTACAGGTGGCAGACAAGGCCTTCTCTTAGCACTGTAAGTGGTTAAAAACCCAATGCTGTCCTATCCTACTGGATTTCAAGTTGGATATTCTAAGATACGTAACAACTAGGACTTGGACTATTTTTAAAACAAGAAAGGAGGATGTGCCCAAAGTAATTTTCTCGCTGAAGCAGTAGAATATGGGGCAGCGTCATGAAAGGAATAGGGCGAACTCCAGGGCACAGTCCAGGACGCCTGGAGAAGGCTCTCCGGGGCGCCCTTTCAAGCGCGGCGCCACAGCGCGCTTCCACTTCGGCGATCAGGTTGTGCCCGCAGGAATGCCCGATGGCAGGCAAAGCGTTTTACATACACAGGAAACTCACCCGGCCACCTGCTTCGTTTCGGCCGGGAGAGCAAGACCCGCTTCCACTCCGCCCGGAAGGCCGTTTCTAATTTGCAGCTGCGCTACACCGACCGGGTGCCCGAAGAGGACAACGCGGGTAGGGCGGCGAAGAAGCCCGTCAGGGAGTCTCGGAGCGCCTCGTAAGCCAGCTCCTAAGCTCCCTGCTTAGCTCTCAGGAGCTCCGAGTGACTCGTCGATGTACTCAGTCACCCACTGCTTCCATTCGCCCAAATGCATCTCTATTCCTATTGTCTTCTCCCTTCACCTCAGACCCCCGCAGCTGCCATTTAAACAGTACAAGACAGCCATCTGTCAGAAATGGTGTAGGGTCCCCTGCTTGGGCGAGGTGGGTGGGACTAGATAACTTAACAAGGTCCCTTCCAACCCTGTTTATTCTATTCTATTTCTATTCTCGTCAAACGTCTTATAGACTTATATACTGTAGGAGTCTGATTCGCTGTATCCTTCCCGCCCTACGCTCCTCATCTTACACTCCTTGGGAAACGTAATTTTTCTTAATGTTTATGGTGATCCTTAATCATCCAGGTCAAGATTGTCCCAAATTTGCTTTTCCAAAAGGCAACTAGATTTTCTTGGGGGTTTCCCCCCTTGAAAACATTTCGCTTTCCATCCAGGAAGTTTCTTCAGTTCTGACAGCTATAGTGAGAACTGAAGAAGCTTTGTGGATAAAAAGTAAAATGTTTTCAAGGGGAAAAAAACTAAGAAAGTCAAGTTGCCTTTTGAAAAAGCGCCTTTGGGGTAATCTTTCTTTCTCTGCTACACTGCAGTTAATGCCTCACCCTGGAATGTAAAATGTCTTCTCTTCCCCTCCCTTTATATTTTTTCTACTCAGTTTATTTGTTCAATTCTAGCACACAGCTACTGTAAGTGCTTTCTCGCTGTAGGAAATATTTTTCAGGTAGGAGCAAATGTGTGTAGTATGGGAAGGTTCTATAGCACCTTGCGAGAATTTACTACATGGTTTAGTGAGGAGTGTCTCAAGATTTAATTTCAAATCATCATGTGTAGAAAGGATAGAAAATCTGGAAAATTCCACAGGGTAAAAGGTCATTTTCAGCAGAATCAAAATATAGGTTAAATGTAATGAGAGGGGAAGGAAAAATATGTGTACATGTATACAAACATTTGAATATATATATATATATATATGTATATATATATATATATATATA